TGCAGGGGCCAATGGGGGAGGGTGGTCACATGGGTCTAGACCCCCGTTTTGTTTTGTTTTTTAACTGTCAGAGCTTTTTATGTATTGGACTCATTTTTTCTTCCTGCCTGATAACCTTCTCCCCTTCTTTTTTCACAAATTCCTGGAGCCATCTCTACACATGCATGGGTGAAATCATCATAGACTACTTCAGATTTACGGCCGCACATCATCAGCATAATTATAAACTGGATGGATGATTCTTCATGCTTGGTTTGATAACATGGTACCTATCCATGCAGTGTCTATAGGGGGTAGAAGATGAGAAAATAGGGGGTATGAGAGGGGAACATTGGAAGGAAGAGTCTTCAGGCTTGGTAAGATGACATGGTACCTATCCATGGAGTGTGTTTAGGGGGAAAAGATGAAAAAATACGGGGAATGAGAGGAGAACATTGAAAGGAATAGTCATCATGCTTGGTTTGATAGCATGGTATGTATCCATGCAGTGTCTATAAGGGATAGAAGATGAGAAAATGAGGTCGATTACACCTTGGAGAACATTCTCATTGCTGAGATTTTCCAGCAAGCTGAATTTTGTATATTGTCAAGATCCGAAAGATTATTCCTCCAAAATGACCACACCGTATGTCTGCATTAGTATGATGCCTGCTAGCCCTCAATGTAGACGACCTTTTATCGACCAAGTAGTTTACCTCTCTGGCGCAATGTCCAAAATATCACTGCTGTGTAAAAGCAAACATAGACACTGTTTGAATTACACAGAAACACCTAGACCCCATTTCACAAAACTTGGCATCAGTGACAAATGACAGTGTTGGTTAAAAGCTACTGAAATCCTTGCTTCTGATTGGTTATCAGCAGATTTGTCACTGATTTTTGTAATTTGTCATTGAAAAAAAGCTTTGTGAAACAGGTCGCAAGAGTTACACCCTAGGTATTTTAGTCATGTAATTTGTATGGTGTCTTTCATCTGTCACTGCCCGCAGTAATCAAAACAAGCCCTCCTGGGATGAGATGAAGTCACTTTATCACCACGCAAGTAGCTTATAGACTGTTCAGACTGTAGAAAATTTATATAAAAATTATATAAAGAGATGTTGTATAAAGAATCCTTGTATAGCAGAAGGAGCATACAGACAAGTAAACAACATCGCATAAAGAAACGTTGTATTAGGTCACTGATTTTGAAGAGGTCAGCTGACATGACAGCTGGCCAATCATCAGTGTGCGCTCATGATAAGCCCCGCCCAGCTCTACGATTTTTGTATGATATTCAGACTGGAGCTGGACCCCGATTCTTTGTTGAGTTTTTGTTCAAAGCGATGCTCAAACTTGCTTTTCTCTATACAACGTTTCATTATATGATGCTTTTTTATTCAACGTTCCGACTTGGGAAAACTTAATTACTTCAATGAATGCTGGTTGTGTGAAAGCAGGGTTAGATAAGCCAACATGCATATTCTCACTGACAAAGCTGTCAATTCGCAAGTATACATGCATGGGTGGTACATGTACCAGCCCTCCTGTGATACATGTATCCATTGGCTGGGTGGATGTCATACATATTTAATGCTAAGTCAATTCAATCATACAGCTTAAACGCCTTGGTGGATTGTGGGCTATGCATTACAAGCAAACCTAAGGCAAATATACAGTTAGAGTGTTTTTTTTTACTGTTACGGTGTTACAAATCAGTTGCTTCTTTTATTTTTTATTTTACAATGTTTGGCAATCAAAACTTATCTCTGTGATTTATCTTTATAGGAATCATTTATCTTGCATAAATATAATGTGTACAGCCTTACATTAAAAAGAAAAAGATAACTTTTCCCATTTTCCCATTTTTTAAAAATTGACAAAACATCTACACATTACTTTTCTTGGTTGACTCTATCTAACTGAATTTTGCATTCTTGCCATCTTCATTTTCATCCATCTTATTACCATTTTGATGCAAGAATACTACTATCTTACTCTTTAAAAAATCCATACTATATTCAGGAGATGGAGAGAGAATGGATAGCCAGCTTCAGACAAAAGCCTCAATCGTACGCAATGTAGCAAACTACCTGGAGAAAAAAACTACCGGAGCAAAATAAACACTATTTTACAAATAAAATTATGGCAAGTTGTGGTAAAAAAAAAGGCCTTAAAGAAAGGCCCCTAAGCATACTCATTTGATGGGTTTATAAGATACAGAAATGTGAAGCGCACAATGCTTATGTCATTTTATATATATCCGCAGTTGCTTTTTAGCTGCTTTAAAACTTCATATGTGAACAGGGCTTTACATGAAAATCACGATCATTTGAGAGGGTGGGAACAGACCTAAAATGACCTGGAAGTCATGCAAAGGTTTCACCTCAATCTCTGATCTTCTTAATGTGAACAGGGCTTTACATGAAAATCACGATCATTTGAGAGGGTGGGAACAGACCTAAAATGACCTGGAAGTCATGCAAGGGTTTCACCTCAATCTCTGATCTTTTTAATGTGAACAGGGCTTTACATGAAAATCACGATCATTTGAGAGGGTGGAAACAGACCTAAAATGACCTGGAAGTCATGCAAAGGTTTCATCTCAATCTCTGATCTTCTTGATGGAAACATCTTGAGATCGACTTCTTTGGACTGACGGGCCTCAGATTATTTATCAGAGATCATGTCATGTGCATCGGACTGAGCTGAGCAGAGGGACTGAGCGGAGGGCTATGGGGTACACTACATCAGGAATTGAGACATCCCCGGTCAATGGTGTATATATTATATGCTTAGAGCAAGAAAGGCATTTAATCTTATACTATTTACATGTAGTTACGCTCTTCTGGCTCTTACAAGACATTCTGTGACATCAGGGGGGTGTTTCACAAAGATTCAAAGTCAAACTTAAATCTAAGTTGGACTTGAAAAATATGGAGAGCCATTTGAAGCCTTAAATAAAATATATTCAAAAGCAAAAATTGAAGTATTTCAGACTTTTCATAAATTCTACATCAAGAACATGAAATCTTTCATAATAAAAGAAAATATCAATGATTTGAATCAACATTTGATGCCTTTTAAAATAACTTTTACAAAATATTTTCATGGATGCTAACGGCTTTCCATAAATGTTAAGCCCAACTTAGAGTTAAGTTAAACTTAGGATCTATGTGAAACACCCCCAGGAGTACAAATTCTAATTGCTAAACAACTGTTTCAAATGGATAAATCAATTCATTAATATTTTAGCATACCAACTATGGCCACTGGCATGAAGTAATGAGGCAATTATAGAGTCTTTACAAAAATGTGAGTAAGGGACATCACTACTATGAGGCTAGCATCTGACTCACATAGCCCTCAGAGTTTAATAGGAGACTTGAAAGCTGATGAACACATGTATGTCTCTATAACCTGAGGCAGTCTGTCCCATGAGAAACATATTACTCATGTGCTCAATTATACATTCATGTGCATAATTGCACAATGGTATGTGTAACTTGAAGAAGAAATTACTCATCTCGTAAATACGAATATAGCTGCTGTGATGAGATTAGTGAAAATGTTAACTACTAGCATTTATTTTTTTAAAGAAGAAGAAATACTAACAAAAGGAAAATGTACGATAATATTATCAAAAGGCAAAACACGTTGATCATTTCAAAGGGGATTTGTTACCTGCTGATGTATTTTCATTAGTAATATTACATATGTCTTTGTTATCATCTTTCTTATGTATTATGTGGGCACTGAAAACAATATGATAGAAGCACTACCATATCATCTTCCCTACCCCCCCCCCCCTCCTGATTAATCATTATCATGGGCACTGAAAACAATATGATAGAAGCACTACCATATCATTGTCCCTACCCCCCCCCCTCCTGACTAATCATTATCATGGGCACTGAAAACAATATGATAGAAGCACTACCATATCATTGTCCCTACCCCCCCCCCCCCCTCCTGACTAATCATTATCATGAAAGATACAGTGAACATGACTTCTCCTGAAAACCAGGGCTAGGTTTGTTATTGATAACAAGTTTAATGAAACAGGGCCTCGGACATTCAAGTCGTCCTTTTAAAACAGAGTTGCTCTGTCTTTAATGTAGAAATGTATCTCAACAGTTCTTGAAATGAATTCAAAACCTCCTGGTATACAATGCATAAGAAACTATATTTCAGCCTAATCCGATCATTGACTTCTATTATTGAAAACAAGATCTCCCAAATGACGTAGAAAGGATCTTGCGTTTCTCTGTGAAATCACCAAACTTTAGTCAAAAACGTAATTCAAGGTTGATTGAAGGGCTGCTCTACAAGAGACCACTAGGGATTTTAAACTAGGGTCGTTGACTGAGAAGTTTTCCTTGAATTTCAAATAAAATCTTGACAGCTTGAATTTCAAGTTGGAAAAGAATCCATATATTATGCATAGGCAAGATTAAGTGCTAAGCCATGTAGAGAACTATATAGGGATTTTGGTAACCGATAGCTAGAGGATGGATGTATCCTTGTCAATCTACTTTGTGTTTGTTCATCTGAAAACAAGATGAAATTATCTTGATGAAGTCGTCAAAAATACAGTGAAACCATGGTGAACAGTACGTTATCTCGACCGCTTGAATATATTTATTTCAAACAGCACTGACCGTTTCCCCAGAGAGCAAACAGATGAATAATTCAAAGAAATCAAATACTACAGTCCCGTGAAACAAACAATATCTTTCAGTAGAATCAAATCAGTTTCTTCGTAATTTTCACCCTTAAATATGGGGCCAGAGTGTGTTGATATGATCAATTGATTTCCATGCACAACAAAAATACAACTAGGTTCAATACATGTAAGCACGACTTTTCTCTCTCAATAGTTGATATCAGTACGAAGACTAATAAAATTCCACCAGAAGTTTGTCACTGAGTACATGTAAAAAAAATTGAACAACCTTTGAAAGTATAGGGCCAGAGAATTTTGATTACTTTGCATAAAATGAATAAAAATGAGTACTTACAGCAGCATATTCTCCCTCATTGACTGGTATTAGTGAGAAGACTAAGACGATATAGCCCAGGTATTCATCGGTTGTATCGTCAGATAGGTCTAGCTTCACTTCTGTTGGTCTAGACACCAAACAAAACAAGATTAAAAATGTTTGAATTAATTATTTCTGCCACACAGACTTTATGAGTGTAGTGGGTGTGGCATTTATATTAATTGTCCTCTTTAATATAACCTGCCTCACAACGAATCACGACACAGCTCATTATGCTTTTTCATGCGTTATTTCAAAGTTGTGTTTGCGAAAAATCAAACTGTCATAGTAAAATGTAAGGGAAATGTCTTTATTTATTGTAAACATTAGGAAACTTCATTTATATGGAAAGTTAATATTCTCTTCTCCACAAACATAAATATAGTAATGAATATGAAGAACAAAAAATATGTAGAAATGGAAATTTTGTCGGTGCTAGTTTCTTTATTTTTAGTTTATTTTTACTGATATAACTGCATCTAATTGACTTGAGTTTTATAATAATCAGCATGGAATTACTAAATTGTAACTGAATTTCATTCAGCTTTGTTATAAGACAGAGTATTCACACGCACATCAAACCATGCAAACAGAATGTAAGTTCAAATGTTCAGAGAGAAATAAAGAAAATCTTAAAGTCAAATTTCTCCACAGAGATCTCTTTTTCTTCGACACAGAAGAGCCAAGTGGAAGACAATTTTATGGGGGGGGGGGGGGACAACCCCAATTCTGAGACATTTCAACAAGTGCCACTACAGAGCTGGCATGCCATTGCTTCCTTTCTCTCTTTTATTTTCAACACCACCATTGCTGCATGTTAATAAAAAATTGTGACATTTCTAGAGCATTTGCCCCAAAGACCTTTCCTTCAAAGAATCCCAATTGGAAGGATATTGAGAGGCTGCAACCATTAAAAATATCTTTAAAGGAAAATTGTGACAAATTTACTAGTCCAGCACTGTAGAAGAAGAGAAGTTTAAACTCACGCATGCATTTAAGAAAGGCAGTATCCATACATGCAATACATTAGATGCTAAATCTTTATCTAAAATTATATGCGTATTAACTCACCTAGATTTGCTTTAAAAGGGAAATAAAACAAAGGTAGTACAATATGACAGTTTTAATATTAGTGCTTTCTATTTGTCTTGACATGAATCTAATAATAAATATTTTGCCATCTTTAAAAATATGCGGGTTTGCTTTAAACACTCCTAAAGACGAGAAGTGTAGCTGGTAAAACATCTTTAAATTCCTAATAGCAAAAAATAAATGACAAAACACTTGGATTCCGGCTTGAGTTGGAACGATATCCAAGAAAAATAATGAAAATATAATCAAAACCAACAACATAGTTTTACCAAAGTAAGTTAAGAATCTGCACACTGCACCCCCCCCCCCCCGAATACTATTTTCTTATATTTCTTTGTAGATCACAACACAGATCTCATTGTACCTCAGGGGAGGAATGACTATGCAAAATCACAACAGACTTAAGCGTGCTTCTTATACACAAACATGGTGCAACAGTAAGCCTTCTGTACATCTCAAACTCTATAAAAGCTCTCTCTTATATTTCCATAACTAAGTTTTACTTTGATAAAAGGAGATCTACAGCAGGATAGTAAGCTAATCCATTGAAATGTCATGTGTATGATGGTAGAGAGCTGGAGAGGTGCTAATAATGGAGGCATGTTAAAACACTCTTTATCAGGTAGAAATATACTGTCTGTGTCAAATATTATCTGTTCATCCTCTTGTACGACAAGAGAAAGAATAAATATGCATACGGTAATGTATTTTGCTTCAATCATATGTAGAAATGTGCTATAAGGTTATCAGCCAAAAAAATACACGGGGGCGGAGGGCGGATTCGCCCCGGAAAGACCATAAACAGCCCCTGAAATAGGCTTAAAATCCGATTTCGGGGGCGACATCAAAAAGTGAAATGATCTCAAATCGCCCCCGTAACAATTACGAGCGGTCGCGCGCTCTCTTCTAGCTTCGTATTCATTGCGTGCATTTCTTGGTCCGCGCGCTGATTCTCCGTATAAAATTGTATACACAAAAATTGGTCGTAAAAAAAACTCGAACCATATTCCATACCTTACCTGGCTTACCATGTCGCACGCAAGTACGCCAAAGCACTTACATTTTCGCAGTTGCGAGATCGAGACGGAGCGTAGGGCTCGAGTTTTTGGCGGTCGATTTTGTTTTGGTAGAAGCTGAATCTAGACCATGAACCACTAAACATCGCGAAACTGCAATCAATTTCCATCACAAATTCACGATTCCTGCAATATTATAAAGTTTCCATAAATAGAGGTATGAAATTAAAGCCTATTTTGTGATGTTCTCGCCATGTTAAAGTAATTTTGATAATCATTTCTTCAAAGTAAAGAAAATCAGACAAAATCACCATGACTGACACGCATACAATACAGTGCATTGGCACTGTGTAGTGTGTGCGAGTTGAGCTGAGTTGCAGTTAACTCCAGAAAGCTCCAACACCGGCAGCGCAGGCGTCCGACGCCGCATACAATACAGTGCATTGGCACTGTGTAGTGTGTGTGAGTTGAGCTGAGTTGCAGTTAACTCCAGAAAGCTCCAACACCGGCAGCGCAGGCGTCCGACGCCTGCGGCGCCGGTGTTGAAGTTTCCTGGAGTTACGCTGCAGTTATGCAGCAGTGTGTGAGTTGAATTGAGCTGAGCTCGAGTCGAAGAGATTTGACACTTTGAAAATGTTATCTGTTGGTTTGCATCATTATTGCCACGATTTCAATATAGTTTCGTGAACAGATTTACGAAACCTGAGCTTAGAATTAGTAAAAGTATTACTAATGTCTGCGTTTTTAAAAGACTGTCTGATTTTCTTGTGAAAATTTTACTTTGAAAAATGATTATCGGAATTCATGGCCAGAAAAAAATCACAATCTAGGGTCTATTATGTTACAGTTCTTGCATCAAATCAATGCATGAAAACTTAGTTATTGAACTAGAAAAGGGGGTTTCTTTTTTAATAGGTAACTATGAAGCAGGAAGCCCAAAACATTAGCCTACTAAAAAAATCTCAACAAACTGTAGGCTTATCCTTTGATGAATTAATGAAAAAGTAGCCCCAGAAAAAAGAGCCCCCGAAATGGAATAAAGAGCCCCTGAAAGTTGAAAAAGTAGCCCCCGAAAAATTTCCAAAAAAATTGAAACGGAGCCCCCGAAATGAAAAACTTAATTTTTTGCCTGAAGGTTATGTAGGAATGGTGCCTATATAATCTGTTCATCCTCCTGTACTGCAAACCTTCAAATAGATGTGCATAACAGATTTAATATTATTCACAGTATTGAATGTACCGGTAATGAATTTTCTTTCAAAAGGAAAAAGAGGATGATTTCTGTTCAAAACAAATTGTTTTTTAAAAAGAAAACATGTTATTCTTTACTCCATATGAACCAAACTTATAAATTTGATACATACATGTACATATTAAACTAATTTCATAAGTAAAAAACATCATAGAAAATCTAAGTAGACCTTACTCTTTGGCAGAAAGGAATTACTACTCCAGAGAGGCAAACATATTTTTTTTTTTTCCTTTGCTTTTGATCTCTGGGGTTGTTTTCAGAAGGAAAAGTAGCTTCCCTGGATAAAAATCAATATTTAAAATCCAATATGCATGCGATCTGAGAAGGGTTGGCATCTTGGTGAACACCAATAATATCCGCAAGGCATCTGTCATTCAAAAATGCTCTTCAGTTAATAACACCATATTCTCGCATTTTGGTGAGAAAATACCTCCATTGGATTATCCCTAAAGGTATGGCACATCTCCATTAAAATGTCATGAAATACATTCATAATGTACTGGAATGCAGGGATGGGCTCTGAGTCATGGAATTTTTGCAGTTTATTACTCTTTAATCAGAATTGTCACTTTATATTCTCATAATATAAGTACATGAATTATGATTTGGTTATTAGGGTAGTAATACTACTTTGCATGTGCCTTGAGCATCCCCTTGGATGGATATGTGTGCCAAAAAATGTAGCTTATTGCAATGACGACCTTCGTCATTGCCTTGTTTTCGTTCACATTCTGCCCCATTAATATACTTATCCGTGTTTTCCTTATCCTTATCGTCAGGAAATCGCATTCGTTTTGCACGTAGTGTTTGTGATTCCTAGTTAGGTGCTTTCCTCATGTCCTTTTCCTTTCAAATTTCATAGGCATAGTCTCTAACATCTCATCAAGGTCACTACATTCTTCAATTTTGGAAATCACTCATGCATGACCGTCCAGGCGCCATTTTGTCTGTTTCTGGTCCATTTTAAGGCCTTTATATCTTCCTTCCTATCTCCACTATCCTAGATCCTACAAACTTCTAACAAATTCCTCTAGATAGTCTGAGAGATGTTCTTTCATCTGCGACGTATGACTTGACCTTCAAAATGCCATCTTCATACTCGAAATTCAAATCTAAAACCGACTCCGTCAAAAATCTCTCAAGTTCTTGAAAAATGGACCCCTAAATAAGCTAAAACTGCCATAACTTTCTCATATAGATTCCGTTTTGTATTTAAATCTCACAGTATCTTTATCTCATAATTGCACATAGCCATGCCAAATTTCACGCTCCAATGGCTTTGCACAACATAAATAGCGCCCTCTAAAGTTCTGGGAATTGGCTTTCTCTTTGTGGCCGTATCTCCATAATGGCTTGGCAAACCCGTACCCTTTTTTGGATTTAGATACTTGAAGATATGCTCTTTCCAGCCATATACAAAATTATATACCCTATCACTGACCAAATTTGAGAAAATTGCCCTCCAAATTCGCCATTTTCAAGAAAATTCCGAAATAACTTCAACTTGCTCTAAAATGGCGATCTTTATACCTACATCAATGAAACTTGGCAGACATATGTATCCATATACGTGACAACTGTCTGCCAAGTTTGGTAAATTTTAATAACGTCAGCGCAAAGTTATCGCCAAAAATGATGAATTTGCTATGCATTACGTAATAGCGCCTTTAATGCTTGCAGTACATTGCGTGCAGATGACAATGGTGTCAAACTGACCGCAATGAAGTGCCCTTTGGAATGATACCAAGTATGGTATATGTTTACACAGAAAATTGTGAGTAAATCGCATTTGAACAAGGGTCACTATACAAATTCCGCCCGATTATAACACTTATCGGCCATGACGTCATTTTTTTCAGACTACTTTTCGCCCCCTAAACATCCTTTTTTTTCCTTGAAAATTTGCAATGACATTCCGAGATGCAATACGCAGGGCACCTCGTGGCCGGATTTTTAAAATTGGTCAAGGGGGCCATTTAAGACGCCATTTTGTCCTTTAAATCTATTTTACATCACATGTTTCGATAGGATTATCATAGAAAAAAAAAGAATAGTTTACAATAACGACCATGAAATTCTCTTTCCAATGATACCATATACGGCCCATAAAGAGACATAAAGAGAGAGAGAAACTAGATGGAATTTTGACTGCGCGCAGTCGAAAATGATGCCTCCGCCATAGAGCAATTTAAACAAGTTTGGAGTTTAAATCTCCAGTGGTTCTTGAGATATCATGATAACAATCTCAATGTATGAAATTTCATAAGTTGACCTCTGTGACCCTTGACCTTTGACCTACGTGCTCCAAAATCTAATCAGATTGTCTTCCTATGGTGATACACACTATCATTAAGTTTGAAGTTTAAATCTCCAGTGGTTCTTGAGATATTATGATAACAATCTCAATGTATGGAATTTCATAAGTTGACCTCTGTGACCCTTGACCTTTGACCTACGTGCTCCAAAATCTGATCAGATCGTCTTCCTATGGTGATACATACTATCCTTAAGTTTGAAGTTTTTACATCTCCAGTGGTTCTTGAGATATCATGATAACAATCTCAATGTATGGAATTTCATAAGTTGACCTCTATGACCCTTGACCTTTGACCTACGTGCTCCAAAATATAATCAGATTGTTTTCCTATAGTGATACACACTATCACTAAGTTTGAAGTTTAAATCTCCAGTGGTTCTTGAGATATCATGATAACAATCTCAATGTATGGAATTTCATAAGTTGACCTCTGTGACCCTTGACCTTTGACATACGTGCTCCAAAATCTAATCAGATCGTCTTCCTATGGTGATACATACTATCCTTAAGTTTGAAGTTTAAATCTCAAATGGTTCTTGAGATATCGCGCTAACAAACTCAATACAAGGAATTTCATAAGTTGACCTCTGTGACCTGTGACCTTTGACCTACGTACTCCAAAATCTAATCAGATCGTCTTCCTATGGTGATAAATACTATTCCCGAGTCTTAAGTTTAAATCTTAAATGGTTCTTGAGATATTGTGATAACGGTCAAACGGGACGGACGTACGGACGTACGGACGGACGTACGGACGTACGGACGGACGTACGGACGTACGGACGTACGGACGGACAACCCGAAAACATGATGCCTCCGGCACCACCTTCGGTGGCGGAGGCATAAAAACAATTTAACTCCGGTCATAATACAGATCCTCTACGTTTTCCGCCCATGCATTACACGCATTGTCTATGGGGCAAATCGGGTTCACGCTTTTGACCCCTAGAACGATCTTGATTGCAATGACGAACATGCAACTAATCCCATTTGTTTTTGCACGCAGTGCTTGCGAGCCCTTTCTAGGTTCTTTCCCCTATCCCAATTTCTTTCAAACAGCGTAGGCATAGTCAATACCATCCCATCAAGGTCACTGTTGAGGCCTTTCTTTCGCCCTACCTGTCTCCAATATTACAGAAGCTAAAGACTTCGTACAAATTGCTCTGGATAGTCCGAGAGAAGCTCTTTCGTTCGACACGTAGAAACACGGCGTCATTGCACGCACATCGTTGTGACACGATTGCATTTCTAGTTACTGTTCTTGTTCTTATAATCATTTGTCAAGAAGACTAGACATTTTGAATTTTCATCTCATGAAATTACAATCCTTCCAAACTCTGATTGCAGAGGACCATACAGACCCTAGGGTTGGGGTTGCACGTCCAATAAAATTTACAATTATATTATATCTGATGATTGTATGATTCAGTTGTCAGCGCTTATAGAGCTTGGATGATACAAAGTAATAAGTAAAACAAGACTTGTGATGCCAATTTACATGCATAGTATTGTCTGTTCAGAGCCAGAAGGGCATTAAGTCTGTGTTACAGTATACAAGTTAAAGCCCCTCTCAAGTGTTGAGAGCCCCAAATTTGCCAAAGATTTGATAGCCAAATTTCACTTATTAAAATTGTATCATAATGTGAAAGAGGATGTCATTTAAGACATTTCTTTTTTTGGAAGGATTTTCAAAACAAATGTGTTTGAGGGCAAATATTGATGAAAGAATACAAAATTTAGGTTTTCTGCGTACAACAGAAAACCCAAATTATGTATTCTTTCATCAATATTTATTTTTTGGGGAAAAATCTTTGCAGAAGTGTGTCTTCAATGACATCTTCTTTCACATTATGGTACAATCTATGTGAAATTTTGCTATAAAATTTTAGGCGAATTTGGGGGCCCCCAACACTTTAGAGGGGCTTTAACATCCTTCTGGCTCCAAACAGACAATCTAATAATTGGTAATGTTCGAGACACCAAATGACAAAATACCTTGGACTTGCCAACTTTCTCATTCTTCATCAGGGAGGGGGGGGGGGGGGGTGAAGTGAGGGTTAAAAGTATAGTAGGGATAAAAGTACTTACTCGCTGGTCTTGAGGGTCATGAGGTCAAACTTTGCATTTCCCATGGGATCATCAGAGGTTCCTATGTCATAGTCAAAGACGTGTATGTGGAGAGGCTTGGTGACATCTTCTATGGCTACAGAGAAGACTTCATTCCATCTGGGGTTGAGGTTGTGAACGATGGTCTTGGATTTGTAAACCTGCTTGCTGTTGATCTTGAACCTGATGTATGGATCGGATGAACCTAGAGGAGAAAGAGATTCAAATGATTAATTGGTTATTGATATTCCTTATTTCAAATTATCAAAATGAATGATTTACAGGAACCTAATGTGATATGCACTACATATAAAAATGGAAAATTGCTATCATTACATAAAATGATCACAATATCGACAGGAAAAAAAATACCTCAAGGTATTGTTTTTGGGGAAGGGGTGGTCGTAAGAAAGATGGACTAGAAGGAAACTTTAAGACAATATATCTCTCCTTATGCTTTTTGGAGGCAATGCCATAGGATTTTTAAATAAACCAAGGTCTGATATTGCATCTAACGTACGTATTCAGGTTAAAAAAAACTCCTCTCTTCTTTAAATTCATAACAGGTTGATAAATTGAGACATTAAATACGATGAATACATTATAAAGGAAGGAAAAAGGGCAACTTTAAAAAAATTGTCACAGAAATCAATTGGACTATTAAAGATAATTGTAAAAACTTTCTTGTTATTGGTCTTACCGCTCCAATCCCTGACAGCGAGATCCTTGCCCTCCTTCAGATGCACCTCTAACCGGTAGAAATTACCCGGCTGGGGTACACCACTGAACCTTGCTGCCCTCTCATCCATCTCCTCCAGACTCATCCCTTGAGTCGACGAGGGGAACCCCCCATCCACCCCATCATCTCCTGATCCCCGCTGGTTGGTTTCCATGGTGACAGCACCAAACGACGACTCCCTGCTCCGCCTTCGATGGTAGTCGTCCTCGCTTCCTCCGGAGGTGTGTTGCTGGTTGTTGTTTTGGTTGGTGAGGGGTATGGATGTTGTCCCATGGGTGCTGGACTCAGGAACAGAGGATGATTGGTCCCCATGCTTCTTGTCCATAAGGCGTTTACGTACTGCTGCTGGCTGTGAAGGAAGGTAAGATGAAGAAGACTTTTTATAATTATACTTTCAACAATGGTTATTTTTGTTACATACAGGGTGCGTTCAATCAACACTTTTTCACCCTAGAATTACTGTTTTCTAAGACGTTAAGTTTGAAACACGGTTGCGTTCAAGCGATTTTTTTTGTCGGTCATAAAAATAAACGTGTTTAAAAACCCAAACGTGAAACGCTGAAAAAGATGCGTTTTGATTTGTGATTCATGTTTGTGATTCTAGCTTCAAAAAATCGCTTGAACGCACACACATACAAGTTTCATCTACTGAGAGCAAGAAAGGCGCTGATTCTGTCTTCTGAATGTAAAGATACAACAATGATTTTTTTTCTTCTTTCTTTGTATCAATACACTTGCAAATTCTATTTTTTTTTCATACATTTATTTATCTCTTTTCATCCTCTGTACATTGCACTTTTTTTTTTCTCTCTCTCTCTCTCTCTCTCCTTCTCTTCCTCTTTATTACCTTTTCTCCCCCTTAATATCTCTTCTTCTCTTCTCCCTTTTCTTGTCTCCTCTCTCTCTCCCCCTCTCTCTCTCTCTCTTTACCCCTCTCTCCTCTCTTTCTTGATCAAACCATTGATGGATTACGCTCTTTCAAGATAGAATTGAACACACAGTCATAGATACTGGTATGTGAACAGGAATTTGTACTTCACAGAACTCACCAACAATTGACAATTGCCAAAGAATTCAGAAAACGTATCTTCATCGTCGGAAGAAAACACACACATTTTGGCTATTAAACTGAGCTGTCAGTCCGACATGTAGCTAATCAGGTAACCATTCAAGTGAACACGACTGACTTGACTTGGACCTGACTCAGTGGTTAACACACACACAGCGACTTCACTGCGTTCGGAACATCCAGTGCTAACTGCATCAGCATCCTACACGTGATATTAGATTTGCTTGGCAACCATTGGCTTCTCCCCCCCGGATTGAACTTCACTCTAGATGACTATACGGGGAGTGTACACAACCTCAAAAATAACTCCACACGATCTATATCCAACATGAAATATGCACATCAGTCCATTAGACGTATCTCTGAACAGTAATCCTTGTTCTTCCCTGTAAACAATACCGATACTCGACAAAATCAATTTGCAATGTCACCAATCTTGATCGACCACTATCTTTGATCTCTGGACGATTCAATACATAATGCAATCCACACAGCGGTGCTACTTGTCCCTGTTGATGTATCTAAACAGCGCATCAGTGCAACAGAGATCCTGGGTAAACCAACCTTGCATTATTGGATGTGATATTCAATGAAATCAATCCCTAATTATGTGGGAATTCTAGCGTAGGTGGAGCACATAAATTACTTTTGGTGGACAGCCGAGCCGATACTGAAACACAACCAGCCAAGCTAGCTATACATGCATGTATCTTTGCATGCTTTGTATGAGTAGGAACTCAACCCTCGATCATGAAATCCCTGACTTGTTTCTCACATACCTGTTTGCATGTGTACACAGTGAAAGTGCTCTAGCACCAGCGGTGGTTATAAAAAGTAAATGCAATTAATTGTCTGGTTTGACGACAGCAAGCTGGTATATGTGATCTCAAGGATGAGGAATATGCTGGTATGCATTGTATAGTGACTTGACATCTTATTGCCTTGTTTATGAAAAAAAAGAAATAAAAAGCCAGCCTCATGAAAACCATGTACAATCATATTCAAACAAAATTGATATGGATAGTGATACATGTATCTGTAACTTCATCTTTTTTAAAAAGGTGACTTAGCTGCAGTAATGTACACTTTCCTAAAAGAAAAACTTAAAACTATCAAAGTAACGAACCATGTCTAATACCCTCATATTTGATGGCCCTGCCTGAACCAAGAAATACACTTATTGCTTTCTAAATCAAGATCATTGAGTGTATGAATTCAGACAGAATCAATCTAAGGTGGAAAGCTCACGTCGAGGTCATAACGCCAAATGAACCGTAACCATATAAATTTGTAACAGGATCCTGCGTTTGTTGAATATCTAATTAATGGGATGGACCAGATTTAAGTAATAAGCGATGACGAGGACCATGATGATTAGCCCTTTCACACGAGAGAAAACTACCGTATATCAAAAAATAAATATAATGACTCATGTATGATAAACTCATTGCAATGGGGAATACAGACAAGATAAAAATATTAAATGAAGAAATATGGTATAAAGAAATCAGCTTGGGGAGAAGTGTGATGGTGATTAAATTATGGCTGGCAGATCATGGTTCAGCACATGCTCACGATAAAGGCTTGTGTTCAAGGCTTGTTCTTGATTTCTTTTTTTGGGTAAATGAATGGCCATCGGCAATGTGATGCATATTACCATCATCCAACCTGCCATCATCATATAAAAACCACCCTGGTATAAACTGAAGCACATCTGAGGCTTAAGCCCCACCCAGATATACATGTATACCATTATACCAGGTTACAAGGTTAACACACGGGTAACGGATACAATTCTATTTGTTTCGAACAATGCTCAATCCTCTACTTTGCTATATGACAAGTAAAAATATATTTATGGTTAGGTTTAAAAATGAATTTTAAGAAAATATTTAAGTTTGGTATGTTTTTAGTTAAAGGAATTTTACAATTCAGTTCATGTAGGATATTTAACCCAGAATACTTTCCCCAGAGCATGTGTCATACAACACTTTCTGACCTCCTGAAAGATGATTTGCAATGGAGATATGACATGATGATTACATAATTGAAAAATAAGCCTGTCATGTGAGCACATATGAGCATAGGTGAATGTGTCAAGCATGTATGTCTATGCATGAAGTATAGAGTTACATTAGAGTGGCCACAGGCAGCTCCTATTACTCGAGGAGGTTACCACAGAAAGTACTTTTGCCATCTCACTTTCTTCATTGTTCTATCTCTGTCCCTCATTCTCTCTTTCTCTCTCTTTCTCTATCCATCAATTTCTATATCCCTCCATCTTTTTTCTTGCGCTCTCTCTCTCTCACTCCTTCATTTTCATGTTCACTCTCTCTCTTATTCTTTCTTTCTCTATCCATCATTTTCTCTCTCCCTACATTATTTATCTTGCTCTCTCTCTCTCTCTCTCCTTCATTTTCATGTTCACTCTCTCTTATTCTCTCTCTTTCTCTTCCTTCTTCCCTAGAGTGCCCCCTCCCCTCTCTCTCCCTCTTTCTCTCTATCCATCAATTTCTCTCTCCCTACATTATTTATCTTGCTCTCTCTTTCTCTCTCTCCTTCAATTTTTATGTTCACTCCCTTGTTCTCTCTCTCTCTCTCCTTCCTTCCTCCCTAGAGCTCCCCTCCCTCTCTCCCTCTCTCTCTCTCTCTCTCTCTCTCTCTGTCTCTCTGTCTCTCACTATCTCCCCCTTTTCCCTCTCTCTCTCTATCTCTTAAACTGTTAGCCCTCCCTGCTTCTCAATCCTCTATTTTTAATATTAACTCATAACAATAGGTTCATATCTTCTACAGACAGCACTTCCACAGAAAATTCTGATGCTGACCATTATGATAGCTTGATTCCCAATGTATTGTACGCTGCCTGCTTTAAAGAAGAAGATGCTGGTGTTAGTAAACAGGGAGACCTACGGCTTAGATCCTATCAGAGGGACAGAGGATTTTGCGACAATCGTTCCTCATTTTGTGGCTTGGCTCAATACATTTTTATTCATAACCCTAAATAGATGCCAGATGCGTGAGTAAAAAAGGCAAAGAGTTCTGCACATGCTGCATCCAGTTTGTTGCCAGGAACTTTAAAAAGGAAAAAAGTATGATAATCCTTGAATTGGCAACACACTGAGAGATTTAACAAATCATTGTTTTTGATAAAAAAATTCATCATTTGGACAACATTCCTGCCTAAGAATACTGTTTACAGAGACATTACATTTTATTTTGACAATGTAGTAATAAAATTCAAATATTGCTGTTGCCAATTTAAAGAACAATATTTGATCAATTTAGCCCCCAAATAAATGCTGTTCTGAAAGGATTAAGAATGTCAAAAAAAAAGCATATTAATTACCTTTTGAATAGAGGACCTCCCTATTACACTGCCTACCGTTCAATGATCCCACCAACATGCACTTTATGAGGTTTCTCTGGCAAGGGGTTCAGAGAATTTGATTAACTTCCCATTAAAAACAGTTCTCAAGCTGTTCTATCCATGAAACGTTTACATGAGCAACTGAGTAAACTTTCTCAACATACATCACCATTTACATAGCACTGCAGCGAGTGTGATCAATACATTGCAGTGTGTAGACATAACCTATGAAATATCAGCACAGACAGTTTGCCTTCAGACCTGGTAGAAAGTGCACATGACAACGGCATGTTCACAAGCGATGCAGGAAAACACCTTATTTTCTCTCTCTCTCTTCTTTAAAAAAAAAAAAAAATGGCTGGCAAGTGGGGATGGAAAAGGAGCCCCACACAACAAAGGTCTTACATGTACCCACTATCTGTGCGTTATAAAAAGCAAAAAATGTTAGGCATACTATGTTTTAAAAAATCATTACAAATAAAATACTGCTACACTTTACTACACCACATGTGAATGGGTCTTAAGGATGCAAAGACAATAGTGCTACTGACTTTTTATTAAAGAATCTGTAAGAAACCATTTCAGGAACATTAGAAGTTCCATATCACCTGAACAATACAAAACTAAGTTGAACCAATCGCCTAAATAATGACAATTTACTTTAGAGGGGGGGGGGGGCATGCAATTTAAAATTTGACTTTTCTTTTACTTTTTTTGCCTTGTCAAATTTCAGTATTACAACAGTTTTCTACTTTCAATGTCTTTTAATAATCATTCTTAATATGTGTATCAATTTTTCAATAAGCACGATGCTGTGCATTTTTTATATCAGAGAAGAAAAAGCATAATATTAAAACACATATATTTCTCTATCCCACACACCCATGTCTAACAATGGTATAACCATTCCCAT